TCTTCTCGAAGGCTTCCTCGCTCATGTTGCCAGCAGTTGGTGCTGGGACCTCAGCTGGAGCCAGGGCCAGCTCTGCACAAGGCACTTCACTATGCTTGGTTTGATGCTCTGTTGTCACCATCTAAATTCCTTTTTTGAACAATAGGCTCCACATTTTCATTTTGCACTAGACTCTGCAAATGATGTAGCTGGTCCTGACTGGGACTGTTGGCCACAGTATTTACACATGACCTTTCCATGTGACCTGAACTTCCTCACAGCATGATGGCTGGGCTCCAAGTTTGAGAGTTTCAAAAGAGAGATCCAAGCAGAAGCAGCATCACTTTTTTTTTTTTTTTTTTTTTTGAGACAGAATCTCACTCTGTTGCCCCAGCTAGAATGCAGTGGCTCCATCATAGTTCACAGTAATCTCAAACTCCTGGGTTCCAGTGATCCTCCTGCCTCAGCCTCCTGAGTAGCTGGGACTACAGGCATGCGCCACCACACCTGGCTAATTTTTCTATTTTAAGTAGAGACAGGATCTAGCTCTTGCTCAGGCTGGTCTCAAACTTCTGGGCTCAAGTGATCCTCCCACCTCAGCCTCCCAGAGTGCTAGGATTATAGGCGTGAGCCACTGTGCCCAGCCAGCATTATCTTTTATGACCCAACATAACTCTTCTTTGTCATGGGGAGTGGCAAGCTCACACTGTAAGAAGAGCAGGTGGGATGGATGATACTGTCACAATGGTCTTTGAAAAATGCAATCTGCCACATCAAGTCATGAGCATGTCGCCTCTCCATTCATCTGCAAAAGGGGCTTGGAGATTCAGTTCTGACTTTTATGAAGGATTGTCTTGGGACCTTTGAGCCCTGCTGGGAAAAGGGCCAAGGGAGAGATGGGAACTTGGTCCTCACAGCCACTCCTAGCTTCCTGCTTCCAAAGATCATGTACCATATGCTCAGAGGAATTAGAACCAGGGTAATGGGGCAGGATTCTGACCCAGGAGCCCTAAACTCTGCCTCCCTCCAGGGAAGACTGGGACTCAGCTCCCCGACATCTGTTTTTCCTGCCAGCATCTCTGCTTGACTAACATTCCTCCTCTTTCATTTCTCCCTGGGGCGTGTTGTTGTCTTTCTCATTAACTTTCCCTCAACTCCCAGCAAGGTCCCTAGACTCTGAGCTCTGCTAATTCCCCTGTAATCCACTGGCAGAGCAGGAAGCTAATTAAATTGTAAGCTTGGGTGCTCACTTCTCTCTGTCATTGTCTGACTCTCTTTGCTTAGTCCCTCGCCCATCTGTCTCTTCCTTTCTTTTCCTTTTGTATTGCCCCTGCATAGTTCACATTCATCTAGACACTTTCAGTATTCTCTCGCCCATCTGCCTGCCTCTCCTCTCTTCTTCTGTCTCCTTTCAGTCTGCAACCAGAGTAATCTTTAACATACAGCTCTAAGCACGCCTTCCCCCCCCTTCTGCTGCAAGATAAAAGCTCCTTAGCTCGGCATTTAAGCCCCACACACCTTACCTGCCTCAGCTTCCCTTGACAAACCCTTCCGTGCTCAATCTAGCCCTCCCCAAGCCTCCTCTCTGCCACCTCCACACCTTTGTTCACATTCTTTTTTTTTTTTTTTTTGAGATAGAGTCTCACTTTGTTGTCCAGGCTAGAGTGAGTGTCATGGTGTCAGCCTAGCTCACAGCAACCTCAAACTCCTGGGCTCAAGCAATCCTCCTGCCTCAGCCTCCCAAGTAGCTGGGACTACAGGCATGCACCACCATGCTTGGCTAATTTTTTCTATATATATATTAGTTGGTCAATTAATTTCTTTCTAATTTTATAGTAGAGATGGGGTCTCGCTCTTGCTCAGGCTGGTTTCGAACTCCTGACCTCAAGCAATCCGCCCGCCTCGGCCTCCCAGAGTGCTACTTTGTTCACATTCTTACCTTTGGCTGGATCCTACCCTCTCACTCCTCCGTCTCTGCTTCCATCTCACTATTATTTAGAAATAGCCAGCTTTGTGACAGTCTCCCTGATCCCCACCCCCAGCTGGAATTCCTTCCTGGAGCTCCCATAGCACTGGGTGGCTCTCTCCTGGCACTGTTCTCTTTCCAGGCTTCTTTATGTCCACATCCTGCCACCCCCCATTACATGATTAGCTCCTTGAGGGTGGGGTCACGGTCTTGTTCATCTCAGTTTCCTACCTAGCACTGTGCCTTAGAATACTTCATTGTTGTCTCTTGGCCAGAAGTGGCAACTGGAGCTTCAGCCTTCGAATCCACACTCCCAGAAGAGGGAAGAGAGGTAAAAAATGTGGGCCTCCCAGCCGAGATGGTCCCTTTAAAGCATTTTCTCTCCCAGTGACTTCTGCTTATATCTCATTGGCAATGTTAACTTCAGGAGGAACTGGGTACATTGCCTCCTTTCAAAGTCAAGTGGTCATCTCTTATTTTACAGATGAAAAAATAAGGCCCAGAGAGGATCAGACAAAGGGAGATTGCAGAGCATGGTGGGTTAAGGACTAGATTTTGGAGCCAGACAGACCTGGATTTGAATCCTACCCGTGCATCAACCTCTTTATCCTCATTTGTAAAATTGGGTTAATGATACCTACTTCAGGGAGTGTTAAGAAAATTAAATAAGGTAATGGATGTGAAAAAGCACTTGGAACAACACCAAGCACACAGTGTTGTTAAGTGTCTCAGTTTGGGTTCCCCCCAAAGCAGACTTTGAGGCAAGGATTGCAGTGCAAGTAGTTTATTTGGGAGGTGATCCAAGAAGCAGGCTGAGTGAGCGAGACAAGGAAGAGAGAAAGGAAAATAAAGTGTTCAGATCTGAGTGGGTTTTCACCATGGAAAACCTATTCAGTTCCGCCAGAGTCTGAGACTGGAACATGCCTTGGACTTGGGAATCCGGAATTTTCCTGCCGAAGGCCGGGAGCTGTGGTGCGGGCCTGTAATGCCAGCTATTTGGGAGGGTGAGATGGAAGGATCACTTGAACCCAGGGGTTTGAGACCAGCCTGGGCAATACAGTGAGACCCATTTCTAAGAAAAGAAAAAGGTATGGTCCACTGAAGGACCAGAAAGCTGGGGCATTTATCCTCTAGCTCTGGACCTCATTGGCTGAGACTTGCTCTGGGGGTGTTAGGTCCTCAGCACTCTGGCCTGCCCCACACTCACTTCCACAACTGAAGGAGGGACACAGGAAGTACAGGCCTGGTCAGGAACTGTCTACAGGTGCCCTCCAGGTAGGCCTGGGTGTGGGCAGTGCCCTGACAGCATCTGCTCCACTTAGTGAAAGGAGCTTGCTATTCAACTTATTGTGGTTGCAGGGTGAGCAGAGACTACAGCCTAGCTAAGGCTCTTTTCTGAACCCTGCTGCCACCTCCTCCTAACTCCCATTCTGGTGTACCCCTCACCCTCCACCCCACTCTGCCCTGCCCACCACCGAGTCACTTTCTCCCTGTCCCCTGAGGCAAACCCTGCTGTCGTGTGCTCCAGCCACCTTTCTCTACCCCGACCCTGACTTCTCTGGTGAGAAGTCCTTGTAGATCCAGGGAGAGTGTCAAATGGTTCCCAGCCTGAGCCAGACCCCAACTGGGATTTAATTATCTCACTTTTGCCTCTCCCCTCCTTCACACCATCGCACCTTCAAGAGGGCAGCCCCACTGTTCTGGCCCTGAAGGAGTGCAATGCATTAAAAATGCAGGGACTGCACAGCAGATCTGTGGCACAGAAAGGACTAGAGCCCAAGTCTCTGGAGTCAACCAGGGACAGGTGGGGAACACCCAACTCCTGGTGGCTGAAAGCAGGGCTCACTCACCGTAGTGGGCAGAAGGCAGGTCTTCACCTCCATAGCTGTCACGGGAGAGAACAGCAGCACAGAGGAACTGAGTCCTAGCTCCCTGCCCGCATCATAGGATCCAAGCCCAGAGTGGAGGCCATTGGAAGGGCCTCTGGCCAATGTTAAGGTGGGAAGACGGCTGTTCCCAGCCCTGGTGCCCTGTTGGACTCCTGCTAGCCTGGCCTCAGCTAGGCAGGGCATGTATCAGTGTCCCACTCCAAACAGAGGTCCCTCTAGCCCTCCCATTGCCCTTCTCAACCCTGTCTCTCCCCACAGGCACAAGCTTTCCAGCAGAAAATTCAATTCTGCCCCAAGGACTCTCCTCCTTACTCACCCCCTCCCCAGGGGGAGCCGGGCTGACCCTCTGTGGCCTGCAGACTTGGTGTCCCTTCTTTCTTCCTAACAGACTATGGGCATTTCCTGATTTGCGGGAGGGGTGGAAAAACTAGGTCATTTTAAGCTCTTCCTTCACTGGCAACATTGACCCATTTATACTTCTCTTCCCTCAGCCCCTTCCCCCAAGGCCACTCAGCCTGGACATCTGTCCCAGCCAAAATCTCACCTTCCACTGTCCTTGCAGTCCAAAGGCTAGTCCAGTCTCTGTGTCCTGCGCCAGTCTTCTCTCCCTAAACCAGGGAGGAAGTTGGTCTGTAGAGCGGCCCACCCCTAGTTTGGCCTCTGCCCCGGGCCTCAGTTTCCCCATCTGCTAACCTGGATTAGTGACGCCTGCTCTATAGACCCAGAGGACGAATATCTCTACGGAGGTAGGTCACGGACTGACGAGGAAGGGTCCAGCGCTCGGCGCAGGCTCCGTGCGGTGCCCCCAGCCCCGCTGCTCGGCTGCCCCTCCTCCGCGCGCCCCTCCCTCTCCCTGCTCCTCTCCTCTCCCCTTCCCGCTTCGCCCCTGCCTCTCCCGCCTCTGCGCTCGCTCGCTGGGCTCCCTCCTTAGCTGACCTTCCCTCTCCTCACGCCCCGTCCCGGGCCCCCAGCACCCTGCCCGCCGCCGCCTCCGAGCCTGGAGGAGCGGCCCGAGCCCCCGCCGCCCCCGCCAGGCCCGGCCCCGCCGCAGCGCGGGCGGTCAGTGCGCAGCCCCGGCGCCCGCGCGGAGCCCGCAGCCCGGAGCCCGCAGCCGGATCGCGGGCTCGAACCGAACCCGACCCGCCCGCCGCCCCCGCCAGGTGAGGACAGATCCGGGGAGGGGCGAGCCAAGGTTCCCCTTTTATTGGAAGCGGGGGGCCGGGGAAGACACGGGGAAATTGGGTCTTTTTTCCTTGAAAGGAGGACCTGGGAGCCTTTTCATGAAAGAGGCACAAGGGCTTTCACGCCGAAGGAATAGATGGAGGGAAGGTCTGGGTAGAGAGGTTTGGGGTACCCCTTTCTTGGTGATTTTTTTTCTTTTCATGAGAAAGGATTGATTGGCTTCTGTGAAAGTGGGATTTACCTTCTTGGGAGGATGAAGGGCTTTCAAGGTAGGTGGATAAGGTGGTTCTGGCTGGGCTGGAGGGAGGGGTTACCTAGAGAGTGGTGGGGAGGAGGGCTCTGAGGTCCCCTCAACCTGACATCGCTGCACCTCACCGTTGGTTCGGGGCTTTGGGTCAGCCCAGTTCTCTGTGTCCCAGTTTTTCTCTCTGAAGATGACTATTTTAGAGCCCCACCTGGACAGAGCTAGGACAGCCATTTCCATCCCTGGAGCTATGACGCCCACCTGCCACCCCCCCACCTCTGACCTGCTCAGTGAAGGGGCTTCAAGGGAGGATGGAGACCCAGGGACCTGGGAAATGGGCACTGGAGGGTGAAACGGAGGCTGGGTGCCAGGCACACAGGAAGACACCTTGGCACTGGTGGGGTGCACTAGACATGGCAGGGAGGTTGCTGGGGGTAGAGTGGGCAGGCGCTTCTGGGCCATGACCTGCTAGGAAAGTATCAGAGTCAGGAAGAGTTGAGCTGTTCTCAGTGCTCCCAGAAGACAAAACACTGGAGGGGTTTTTGTATGCTTGCTTTTGTTTGGTTTTGCTTTGTTTCTCCTTTCCCCTGAATCCCAAGGCTTATTCCCCTTCTCTCCTCTCCTATTTTTTTGCAAAAGTGGAAACTGAGGCAGAGGACAAGTTAGCTGGAGATACCTGTGTCTGTGAGGGAAAGGTGATAGGGAGGCAAGCACATCGAATTTGGAGTAAAAAAACCTCAGCTCAAGGCTTGCCACATTGCTCCCTGAGTGACTTAGGGCCAAAATGCTTCTGCTTTTGGGGGCCTCAGCCTCCTCAGCTACAATATGGGAGAGGTCCTGCCTATCTCGCAGGTTTGCTGAGACCAGATGCATGGAAAAGAGCTTTGTAGAAGAGAATGCACTGGACACTTCTGAGGTGCAGTCTTCACCACTGTAGATGGGCTCCTTCCCTCCTCCTTGCCCTCACCAGGGTATTGCTAACCCATCGGGTGTCTTTGTGAGAATTAGAAAAAGTACCTCTTGTGGAAGGAGACAGTGTTTGGCCGGGCTAGCGATTTGTGGTCTTAATTATGAGAATTATTAGAAGGCACACTTTACCCCGGATGCCCCTCCAGCAGCTGCACAAGTGGAATGTGGGCTAGATTCCAGCTCCCTCTGACCCTCAGGCGAGCACCCTTGTGCAGGACACCTCTGCACAGCTGTACTTGTCAACCCTTCTCAGGAGGACCCCAGTGTCTTTAAGAGATACAAAGCTACACACACTCCCAGGGTATTTTCTGAAGAAGCCCACATGCCAGGCTGCTTGCAGCTCATTCTTTCCTGCTTTGTCTCCACTTCAGGGCCTTTGGGTATCAAGCCCCAAAGCCTCTGCCCTACTTGAGAGCAGGCTGGAATCCCACCCTCAGAGAGTGACTCCTTTGAGTTAAGCAGTGCCTTCATCCAGGTCTCTGCAGGAGGAGTTACTGAGTCCCTAACCTCTCATGTGAAGAGCTGTATCAGTTTGCTTTTCTCAGGGCCAAGAACAGAAGAAGCCTCTGCACACCTGTGTAGCACTGCTGTTTGCAAACTATGTGCACACCTGCTATCTCAGAGCATCCTCGCAGCAAGCTTGTGAGGCAGGTCTCCTACCCATTTACACGGAGGGAGCCATGCCCAGAGAAGTTAAGGAACTTGCCCAAGGTTTCACAGCGTGTGAGTGGTAGAGCCAGGACCCAAGCCCAGATCTAGCTGTCTGCCCTCTCCACTCCACCACTATGGAGGAACAGAGTTGCTGACTTCACAGCCTTGCCAAACGCCTGCTGGAATTGTTGTTCTCTCTCCTTAACCCCAGCAGCCCCTGGCTCTTTCCTTCCCGTCAGTGAGCAGCCCCCAAGCAGAGAGGAAGGAGACACCTTCTCTTTTACTCTGATTTCATGGGGGAGGGAGCTACCACAAAGCACAACTGTTGTGGCCTCCCAGTGCAGGAAGGGCCCCTCAGTGCAGAGGCCCAAGGTCTAGTGTGAGAGCTGACCCCTGTGTGAGGGGCAGACGAAGGAGCATAAAATAGCCGCAGGAAATTGCAGCCAACTGGAGGCTGAAACTCAGAGACCCCTGCACACCTGCTGTGTTACCAGGGGCCCTGGGGAGGGACAGGGGTGACCCTAGCCAGAACATTTCTGCTGGTTTGTGTGCATGCATGTGAGCTTTCACTTGAGAAAAGGGTTTCAGTGCGTGCGCACGCGCTTGGAAAATCATAGCCTAATCCAATGGCTCCCAATGTCTGGTCCCCAGCCCAGCAGCATCAGCATTACCGGGAATTTGTTAGAAATGCAAATTATTAGGCCCTATCCCAGACCTACTGAATAAACTCTGGGGGTGGAGCCAAACTACGTGTTTAATAAGCCCTCCCAGTGACACTGAGGCACGCTAGAGTTTGAGAAGCAGTGACCTAGTTCAAGTATGTAAAAAAACCGAGACCTAGTTGTGGGTCAAGGGGAGGGCTGGGAAGAGAACCCAAGTTTTCCAGTCCCAAAGGGCCAGACGCTTGGAGGGGGCCGCTGCCCAACACTCCTCTCCTTCCCCTCCTCATAGGCGCCATGCTGCCGCTTCTGCTGGGCCTGCTGGGCCCGGCAGCGTGCTGGGCACTGGGCCCGGCCCCAGGCGCCGGTTCTTCCGAGTTGCGCTCGGCCTTCTCGGCGGCGCGCACCACCCCCCTGGAGGGCACGTCGGAGATGGCGGTGACCTTCGACAAGGTGTACGTGAACATCGGGGACGACTTCGACGCGGCCACTGGCCAGTTCCGCTGCCGCGTGCCCGGCGCCTACTTCTTCTCCTTCACGGCTGGCAAGGCCCCGCACAAGAGCCTGTCGGTGATGCTGGTGCGCAACCGCGACGAGGTGCAGGCGCTGGCCTTCGACGAGCAGCGGCGGCCCGGCGCGCGCCGCGCGGCCAGCCAGAGCGCCATGCTGCAGCTCGACTACGGCGACACGGTGTGGCTGCGGCTGCACGGCGCCCCGCAGTACGCGCTCGGCGCGCCGGGCGCCACCTTCAGCGGCTACCTGGTGTACGCCGACGCCGACGCGCCTGCGCGCGGGCCGCCCGCGCCCCCCGAGCCGCGCTCGGCCTTCTCGGCGGCGCGCACGCGCAGCCTGGTGGGCTCGGACGCGGGCCCCGGGCCGCGGCACCGGCCGCTCGCCTTCGACACGGAGCTCGTCAACATCGGCGGCGACTTCGACGCGGCGGCCGGGGTGTTCCGCTGCCGCCTGCCGGGCGCCTACTTCTTCTCCTTCACGCTGGGCAAGCTGCCGCGCAAGACGCTGTCGGTGAAGCTGATGAAGAACCGCGACGAGGTGCAGGCCATGATTTACGACGACGGCGCGTCGCGGCGCCGCGAGATGCAGAGCCAGAGCGTGATGCTGCCGTTGCAGCGCGGCGACGCCGTGTGGCTGCTCAGCCACGACCACGACGGCTACGGCGCCTACAGCAACCATGGCAAGTACATCACCTTCTCTGGCTTCCTCGTGTATCCCGACCTCACGCCCGCTGGCCCACCGGGCCTCAGGCCCCCGGAGCTCTGAGCCCTCGCCCGGAGAGGAGCACCGGAGGGCCAGGGGACATGGGGGCTTGCATGCAGAGCGGGGGCCGCCGCCCGATCGGCCCGCGGGCGCGAGCGCGACTGCCTGCCTCCCCAGCGCGCTGGACTCTGCCAATAAAGTGGGCCTCCGCGGCGCTGTCAGCCCAGCGTCCTGCCTCTGTGTTGACTCCTTTGCTCCGGCGCAGGGAGGGCACTGACTACTGCAGACCCACAGGCCCGAGATGGGGGTCGGAAGTCAGAGGGCAGGATTGGGTCAGGCCCTGGGAGGACGAGGAGATGAATTTGATTAAACCATATTCGCTTAGTCTGTTGCGGGCCTCCCCTTCATGTCCCTGTCCAGTCCTTCCCTCTGTCCGACTCCTCACCGTTGACCTAGGACCTCATTCTTAGCCCCGGGCTGATTCCTTTCTGTAACAGCACCCCGCTACCCCACGGGCCATGAGATTCAAGGAAATGACTTATTACTTTCTCCAGCAGAGCGTGGGAGTGGGATGAGGAGTCGATACCTGGTTGCCCTGACCTCTGCCCTCCCAGGATGGGGACAGTCGTTTGCTAAGGGCAGGGGTTAGATGCCTTACTCTAACATAGAATGACACAGGCTCCAGGAGGCCAGAACAGAACATTTTATGGGAAGAACTACAGAGAATCAGGGCTACACCTGCCCCAGCCCACCTCAGTTTGTTTCTCTCTCCATTGGTCTTCTCCCAACCTCACTCCTTCCCCTCTGAGGTGTTCATCTGAAGCTTGTTGAGATGGACCAAGACAGTTTTTTCCTCCCTCCTCCAAAAGAGGTAATGTTCCACCACCTGCTTCCCTCTACTTCTCCAACAGACAGAACTCACTAAGTCCAATCTGTTCTCTCAGCCCAGATGGGGAACTTGGAGGCTCAGAGACCCCAGAGCCTTGGTTGTGCTTAAAAGGGGTATCTAAATTAGGACTGAGTGCAGAGCATTGACAGGGTTCCTGTAAATTGTGCAGAACCTGTCACAGACTGCCAGAGTAGGAGTTGGAGGGCCAGACCCTGAGCTGGCCCTGACTTGGGGCTAACTTCCCTTTCAACATCTTTTTTTATTTTTTAATTTTTTATATAGTCATTTTCTCCTTCAGATCTTTCAGCATCTTTTTTTTTTTTTTTTTGAGACAGAGTTTCACTTTGTTGTCCAGGCTAGAGTGAGTGCTGTGGCGTCAGCCTAGCTCACAGCAACCTCAAACTCCTAGGCTCAAGCAATCTTACTGCCTCAGCCTCCCGAGTAGCTGGGACTACAGGCATGCGCCACTATGCCCGGCTAATTTTTTCTATATATATTAGTTGGCCAATTAATTTCTTTCTGTTTATAGTAGAGATGGGGTCTCACTCTTGCTTAGGCTGGTTTCGAACTCCTGACCTCGGGCAATCCGCCTGCCTCAGCCTCCCAGAGTGCTAGGATTACAGGCGTGAGCCACCATGCCCGGCCTCAGCATCTCTTAAACACGTTTCTTAACCCTGACCCCTGACTCCTGATCCCAACACACACACCCACACACCCACACCCACCCACACACACACACACACACACACACACACACACACACGGACATACGCACATACTCTGCCTACAAGTCTTGCCCTTAGCTCTGCACCTGCTCACTGGGACCCGAAGCTTGGTCTCTTAGCATATCAAGGAACAAGATGGCAGGGGTGGGGTGTGAAGGGTGCAATGCAAGCCCAGCGATCTAAACACAGTGGGAAGAACCAGGTGCCAGATGGATGCCCAGGATGGGTCTAGCTGGGAGAGATGGGGGAAATGGAGGGGGGAATGGCACATGAAGGGAAGGTTAGGGTAAGGGGTCAAGGATGGAGGCCCAGGGCTCCAGCACTGGGGGCTGCTCCTGGGGACAGAAACCTTTGCACAGGTCCCAGAGTGTTTCCTGTGCCAGGAGGGTGAAGACCTGGGTCCAACGACCCCTCTCCTCAGCCTCATTAGCTGCGTGGAGCCGGTAGACGCAGGACAGCCCTGTGAGGAGCAGATGTTCAAAGTCCCAAGGGCTAAGAGGAGGCCCCTTCCGCAGGTCCTGGAGCTGCCGTAGCTGCTGCTCAACACCCTCCAAGTCACTAGGCACGTGGTGCTGCAGGAGGAGTCTGAGTCGGCGGCCTGGATGTGTGGATGCTAGTTCCTCATCCTGGATGTGCAGCTGCCCCATGACATCCAGCTCCAGCCCAGCCCAGAGCAACTGCAAGGGGAGCCATGTAAGGGGTGAGCTGGCCTGGGGGGCCGGGCAGGGAGCAAGAGTGGGCCAGCGGGGCATAAGCAGGCAGTAGGACCCATGCTGGGTTCTCCCTCCCCCAGCAGGCCCACCCTGAGACATCCCCCTTCCCAACCCTGAGCTTAGGGACCTCTGGACATGCCCAACCCACTCCTTGTCCCAGGTTGGGAAGAAAGACCTCAAACATCACTTCCGGGGCCTCTGGCTTCTGCAGGCCACCTCCCACGCCGGCGCTGTCCATGGGCTGCCCTGGGGCAGCAGAGAAGAGTCAGGCCCCTGTAATGTTCCACTCTGAACACCCCAGCCTCCCAGAAGTGCCCCTGAGCTGTCTGGTAGGGGGCCCTAGTGGTTCATCAATCTACAAAAGGGCAGGAATGCCATCTCATGCTCCTTTCTCCCCTGCCCCACATGCACATTGACATTCACCCTCCCAGGCAGTTCTTGTGATGCCATAGCATCATCCCAGGCCCAATTACCATCTCGGCAAATGCCCAGGACTCCTCCTTTAACTTGCACAATGCTCTTGGTAAAGAGCTCCAGGCCAATGGGTCACAAGACCTGTCCCCTCCCAGTAATCATCTGGGGACAGTATGACCTAAAACAGTGCCAGTGACCCTCCCCAAAGGATGAGGACCTCGTGGGGAAGAGCCTACCTATTCTTTCCCTGCTCCTCCTCAGTAGTAGATCCTGTGCAAGGCATGAGAGCACGGCCAGGCTCAGCAGGGTATCTCTTGTACCTCCCTCCACCGTGCACCCTGGAGTGTTGCCTAACCCTTGCAATCATTGTCCCAAGCCCAAGGCAGGTCAAAAGACCCTGCTTTGGGCATCAGCTGGAAGAAGCCCAGGGCCCAACTCTAGTCCAGACCCTGCTTTGGGCATCAGCTGGAAGAGGCCCAGGGCCCAACTCTAGTCCACCTGGCTCTTTCCATTTCTGGAGGTGAGGCTCATACCATTACCCACCACTGCACACATCAAGCTGGTACTTGTCATGCCCACAGTTCCTATGCCCAGCTAGGCTCAGACCAGACTAGTACAGCAGACTATAATGCTGTCGGCTGGCAGCCTTCCTTGGCTCCTGTCCACCCACCCTGAAGCCCTGGTACCTGCATGGTGCTGGGTCGCAGTCACCCCAAGGAGACAAATGGATCCCATGAGGCAAGCCAGGAACTGCAGTGTCACAGCCATGCTCCACCACATCTTCTAAGTCTCACTCTTCTCACAGTTCTCTGCTCCCTCAACTGCCTGCCACAACCCTCGGCTCCAACTTTCCACTGCAGGCTGTTCCTGAATTCCATTACGCATGTCAGTCTTCAATGCTGAACAGGGAGGGGCTGGCTGTGGCCTTGGTCACCTCCCAGGACTCATTCCATCCCTTAGAAATGGGGAATCTTTGGTTGTTGGCACGAACCTGGCTCCCTGCTTGTCAGGCCCTCAGCCTGTTCCTCCTCAGATGGGCGGGATGCTTAGTTAATAGGAAAAAGGTGTTTGGTAGCAAACAGATCTAGCTTGGCCCTCCAAATGGGTAACAAAGAGCCCAGGCAGTAACACTACCTTACCGTCTGCCCTCACCCTCAAAACATTCTGCAACTGAGGCCAGTCCCAAACACCCAGCCCAGCCTCCAGGGAGCCCTTCAGCTGCCAAGAACATCAGCTGCAAAGGCCTGTCTTCCAACTGCATGGTGGGCTGGGTGACCAGCCCCTTGGACAGGAAGAGCCAAGTACTCCAATCTCAGGCACGCAGCCACAGGCTGAACAGACCCTAGACTGGCAGGGGTAGGGAGCATCTTCCCCCGGAAGACAGGCAAATCTGTAGCTTATGAATTTTTTGCCCCAGCCCTAGGACCTTCTTTGTTTGCTAACATTGTCAGCTCAGGCCAGAAACTGGGACAATTTCCTAAGCCTAAGAGTGATGGAAGATCAGGCTACAGGGAGGTCACAGGGCTCAAGACTTAAAAATGACTTGAGATTCTTCCTGGCTCTGACTCTTGGCTCATGGAACCCTCTGGATGTTAGGGTGGAATGAGTGGATTGGGGTTTCCTTTTTTCCACCCAGGCCCCTGGATCCATCAGCTTCCACCACTCTGATGTGGCAAAGGGCTTTCTTCAGCAGTTGTTGAGACTCCCTCCAGTTCTCATTGGAGGCCATGCCACACCTATCCTGAGCCTTGTGGACTGTAAGAACTTTCAATTACAGCTCCAGAATTCCACTCAGAAAAACATCCAGGCCTGCAGGTCACCATGTCTACCGCTGCATTATTTAGTCCCATTAAAATAGACTCCCTGGGCTGGGTGCTGTGGCTCACCCCTGTAATCCTAGCACTCTGGGAGGCTGAGGCGGGCAGATCGCTCAAGGTCAGGAGTTCGAAACCAGCCTGAGCAAGAGCAAGACCTCGTCTCTACTAAAAATAGAAATAAATTAATTGCAGAAGGATTGCTTGAGCCCAGAAGTTTGAGGTTGCTGTGAGCTAGGCTGATGACACGGCACTCACTCTAGCCTGGGTGACGAAGCGAGACTCTGTCTCAAAAAAAAAAAAAAAAAAAAGACTCCCTGGTTTTGTAGGGTCTCTCTAAGTAAGTAGGGAAATATACCCCTGCCTGTATCTCCCCTCTCCTGAGTCAAAGTGTCACTTCTACCAATTATAAGCACACAGAAAGTGGTGAGCCTAAGTAGGAATTTATTTACACAAACAATTATAGATAAGGCGTTTCTAGGACCAATATGCCTTCCACGGAGCTACTTGGATTCGGGCTTCTTGGCTTCAGGCTTCTGGTCTCCAGCTTCAAGTTTGAGACTCTCAGGCGGCTGGCGATAGGCAGGGAAAGCCTCCCAGGGGCTATTCAGGTCAAACTTGCGGAACTCTTGGGACAACTCCACCGGCTCAGCCACCACCCGCTTCACCTCATCGTCATAGCGTAACTGCAGGAACAAAAGGCAAGCTTGAGCACTGAGGAAGGCCTTGTTACAGCCAGGAAGAAGCCCGTTTTCACAAGGCTAAGGATAAAACTTCTCCAGCCCCTGTCCCTATCTGTCCTTGACTCCTATTCCATCCCCTTCCCAGGCTCTGTAAATAAATCTCCATCCAGGCCGGGCATGGTGGCTCAGGCCTGTAATTCTAGCTCTCTGGGAGGCCAAGGTGGGTGGATTGCTCGAGGTCAGGAGTTCGAAACCAGCCTCAGCAAGAGTGAGACCCCGTCTCTACTATAAACAGAAAGAAATCAATTGGCCAACTAATATATATAGAAAAAATTAACCGGGCATGGTGGCACATGCCTGTAGTCCCAGCTACTCGGGAGGCTGAGGCAGAAGGATTGCTTGAGCCCAGGAGTTTGAGGTTGCTGTGAGCTAGGCTGACGCCACGGCACTCACTCTAGCCTGGGCAACAAAGCAAGACTCTGTCTCAAAAAAAAAAAAAAATCTCCATCCACATCTGTGTTACCTATCAGGTCATATCCCAACCAGCTAGTGCGTGGGATTCCAAAATGGCCTCTACTTCTCATGCCCTGCCAGGCCAGCACCCATCAGACTCCCTTGCCCACCACTACCACATCATGAGCTTACCCCTTCCCCAGAAGAAGTGACTCTGCTCACCCATCCACACATTCTTGTAATGATAAGCAGTCAGTGGCTGTAAAGAGTAAATCTAGGCCGGGCGCGGTGGCTCATGCCTGTAATCCTAGCACTCTGGGAGGCCAAGGCGGGCGGATTGCTCGAGGTCAGGAGTTCGAAACCCGCCTGAGCAAGAGCAAGACCCCGTCTCTACTATAAATAGAAAGAAATTACTTGGCCAACTAATATATATAGAAAAAATTAGCCGGGCATGGTGGCGCATGCCTGTAGTCCCAGCTACTTGGGAGGCTGAGGCAGGAGGATTGCTTGAGCCCAGGAGTTTGAGGTTGTTGTGAGTTAGGTTGACACCACGGCACTCACTCTAGCCTGGGTGACGAAGCGAGACTCTGTCTCAAAAAAAAAAAAAAAAAAGAGAGAAATCTAAACTGCACACACACCAACTTCAGGTCCTATGGCATTGGTATTTTCACTGTCAACACAGTGAAACACAGTATATCCAGTTTCTTGTTATTGAGGGAGCTGATAACTAAAATAATCAGATGCTGGGGTAAAGAGGCAATCCAGGTAAGGGAGATGGCAGGGGTGAGTAAAAGGGAGGAGAGAGGGAAGTAGCCTTTACTAGAAGTAGCTTGAGAGAAAAATGGGAGCATTCAAAGCATTAACAAAATAGGAGCGTTTGGAGACTAAAGGAGGAGGGCTAGAGTGCCACAAATCTAAATATTTCTAAAAAGTTACTTTGCTACAAAAATCACATATATGTACGTATACGATAGACTATCTTTCCGTTAATAACTTGCAGTACCACTGAAATTCTGCATAAGGTCCTTGTAGTTACTAGTCCTGTCTCAGTGGCCATTCTTGAGGACTGAACATGTAGTGTCCTCCTTGTCAACTGTCTTCCCAAAGATCCAAGACAGTGTGAAATAATCCTCACTTTCAGTTCTCGGGGACAGACTGTGTCCTCAAGGCTGACTTGATCATTACAATAATAGCTAGCATCAGCTGAACATTTATAATACACCAGGCTTTACACGCACATCATTTGATGCCTGCCACACATCTATTAAATGCTATTATTATTTTTTTAATTTTTAAAAACATTATTTCTTTCTTTTTTTTTTCCTTCTAATTTGAGAGTATCCAGAAACAGGATAAATGCTATTATTATTCCCATTTTACAGATGAGAAAACCGATTCATAGTCAAACTAAGTAAAAGGAAGCTAGGATTTGAATCCAGAAGCCATGCTCTTAAAGCACCACAATCCACAGACCATATTTCCTGCCATGCCCAGGATCCCCTAGGTTCCCTGAGAGTCCCTCTCTGAGGATGCTGCCCTAGTTCCAAGGCTCCTACCTCCACATAGCCAGATAGAGGGAAGTCTTTCCGGAAAGGATGTCCCTCGAAGCCATAATCTGTGAGGATCCTTCTTAGGTCAGGATGGTTGGTAAAAAAGACACCAAACATGTCCCAGATCTAGAAAAGAGAGGTTCTCAAGCAACCAGTCCATCAGGGCCAACAACAGGGATAAGGGGCTGCGCTGCATCCCGTAGTTTCAACCAGATCCACAAATCTGGCCCAGAGGCAGAGTCCATTGTGTCCAGTAACTCACCTCCCTCTCATACCAGTTGGCTGCCTTGAACACAGAGTAAATGGATTCAATGGGCGTCAGGTCATCTGTGTAGGTCTTCACACGGATCCGTGAGTTGAAGCGCAGAGAGAGTAGGTTGTAGACAATCTAGGGAGAACAAAGGGAGCTGCAAGACCTAGATGGCCATAGGCTGAGGGGTCTGGAATGGGAATCCCTGATTGGGAGTATCAGTGTACCAGAGGATATAGGGTGGTTCTGACCTCCACCCTGTGACCCTACCTTCTGTTTTGAAGCTCAAAACCTCAAGATGCTCCTATGCTTACAACTACTTCCAAAGACTCAGGCCACAGCTGTAGCTCAGCATGTCAGTATGCCTGTGTCAGCTCATGCTATTCCCTTTGTCTGGGGTATCTCCCTAGTCTACCCAACCCCTGCCCTCACTAGGCTTACTTTGTCTCCTGCTGATCTGTTAAGATTCACCACAAACACCCTCTCTCTTCAAAGAAGCCTCCCAGACAGGGCCAAGTGCCCCTCCTGCATTCTTAAAATATCCCTCTAACATCCCATGTAGTATATGTTACTACAGTAAGCTGTTCGTGTGTTTATGTGTCTCTCTTCCTCACTAGAGTGTGGGGGACTCCTGGATGGCAGATACTGTGTGCTATTTCTTTCTCTTTATTTTTTGAATGCTTATTTTCATTATTTCTTTCTCAATCCCAGGGTCTGGCAAATAGTAATCAGTAAATATTAATAGCTAAATATACTGAGAACTTATTGTGAGCTACCAATTTACCCATACTATCTCATTTCATCCTTACAACCACCCTAGAAGACAGAGACAACTTTATACTTATTTTGCAAATAAGAAAACTAAAGCTCAGAAAGATTAAAGAAAGTGTTTGAAGTCACACAGTCTTGTGTGGCAGAGCTAGAATTCATATTTGAGGTCTGCTTGGTTCTAAAGCCTTGGTATAACTGCTGTGTTCTATTGTTTGACCCAAACTGAAATTGAGGTTATTGTTCCCATAGGTAGCTGTCACCCTGAAACTACTCTGTTCCCTTGCATACCTGTAGCCTCCAAAGCTTCTCAAATTTCCTGACTGACCTCAAAACGGTTCTGCCGAGTTGGGATGTCCACTGCTGTCAAGTCAGCCAAGGATTTGAACTGTGCATTGGTGTGATCCCTGAGGAAAGTCAGCACTGGGATAACTCCATCAGGATGAATGCAGACCTCTAACTCATTGAAGAAGCACACCTGCAGACATGGAAGGGAAGGGAGAGGGAGCAAAGAGCTACTGAGGGGGCAGCTAACTTCAGCTGGGGTCACCTGGTTTAATGCAGAGAAAGAAGCCCAAGTTTGGGACAGAGGAGTCTGTAGTTTCTTTGAAATCAGGCTGCCCACTCCCACATTCCCTGAGAGCATGGTTCTTTCTGGAGCCAGACCCAAACAACAGTAATGAACATTACCTGAACTTGTTGGACATACTTGGGCAGGATTTCAGCCACATATTCTCCAAAAGCTGAGAGTTGTTTGCGGGCCACATCATTCTGTGGTCTGACAGTGGCTGGAAGGAAAAGGCGTATTTGACAAAGGAATGGAGAAGGTAGCAGCCAGCCCTGCTCCCTGTATAACCTTGAGAAAGATGCAGGTGCAGGGTTCCTCTCCCAGAGACGAGGAAGCAATGAAAACTTGGGAAAAATGTCACCTTGCTAGACAGTCCACAAAGACTCTTACTACTACAGCTGGGGTGTTTGCCTCTTCTTCCCACACACTGCCTGCATTTCTGCTAGAGCTCTGTCTTAGCTCTTCTATCAGACTAGGAACTCCTTGAGGATGGGAACTAGAACTTTTGCTTCTTTGTACCTCCTTAGCACTTAGGTTATTACCAGGTTCTCAAGATAAGAACTTCAGGGCTGAAAAGCCCTCACAGAATGTTTTGATAAAACTTTTTATTTATTTATTTTTGTGTCAATGAGAAAACTGAGGCCTAGAAAAGGGGATATGTCAGGTCTCCTAACTCCCACTCTGCTTATGTTGACTATAATATAACATCTCCATAGCTCATTCCTGCAACCCTAAATCACTGAGCACTCACAAGTCACAGGCTGTGGAGTAAGGGTTAAGTGTTCCCTGCTTTTGGTAGCTGGCAGGCCTTCTCTGTCAATTCACTAGGAATGTGACCCTGGGTAATTTAATTCTCAGTACTGTTTCCTGAACTACAGTGTAGAGAGTAAAATACTATCTATCTCATAAGGTTATTGTAACGACCAAATAAGATCATTCACTAAAACGCTTATCCAGGTGTCTGGCACGCAGTAAGCACTCAATTAACGTGAGCTACTATTACCACTGTGCTATGAATCCTAAAAGTTATGTTTTCTGCTCTCAAAGAGCTGACCGTTTAATCAGAGAAAAAGATCATGGAAACGTATAAGGGATAATCAGGGCCATAACAGAGAGGCCTAATGGCACAGGGAGGATTCAATTCGGCCTGTGGAGTGAAAAGCACAACCGTCAGATCTACAAGGACAACTACAGATTTGCAAGGAGGACGCAGGGAAGGGCATCCTAGGGCAAAAACAAACATCCAACTAGGAGAAAGAAGAATCCCACCCGCAGGTAGTACGGAGAAAAGCTCTTCCCCAACATACTCACGGCGCGTGTCGGCCGCGGCGCTCTCCCTCCTCACCGGCAACAGCACCCAGGGTCGCCCAGCTCCTGCACAGGGAGATAAAAGGCACAGACGCGAGCGGTGAGTCCCGAGTTCTCTGCGTTGGGTGCGCCTTTGCTCCTGAGCCCGGCCTCAGCCAGCTGCCGCCCGCTCACCCCTGGCCAGCGCCGCGGCCCCCGCAAGCCTGCGCCACCAGACCCTGGCCGCCGTCGCCGCCATGTTCCCCGGACGCACACAAGGCAGCCGAGGAACAACCCACAGGACACGGAGCACCAAGGACACGGACCGGAAGCGGAAGTGTGCAGCGGTACTTCTTCCGGGCGGACGCGGGGCCGGAAGCGGAGGTTCCGAGATCCGGGTACCGGGATGAAAGGAGGGAACGCAGGTGAGAAAGCGAGACCGACAGGTGGGGAAACCGTGAACGTAGCCCTAGGTGAACGTAGCCCTAGCTCCGTGTGGCAGAGGCTGGAGAGAAGGCGAGGACGCTGAAGAACCGGACGGGTGAGAGGAGGGGCGGGGGCGGGCGTTCTGGCTTCTACGTTCTATACCCCTCCCCCGCTTCCTGAGCCAAGCTTTTGACGAAGGCGGGCGGGTCTGAGCTGGAAGAAGTTTCCCTGGCGACCGTTTCCCAGGCGACTCCAGGTGGAGCGAGGACACTACACTGGGAGATGGGCCCCCTCATGCCCCCATCTAGAGACGACTAAGTTCTTTCTCCAGTTCTGACACTGAGCCTTGGGGAGTCATTAGGGTGAGCAGGGAAGTAGGGGAAACAAGCTCAGAAGAGACCAAATGTGGGACTGACATATCTCAGGCCAAGCCTCATATTGGAGAGTTTGGACTCCATGCGCGGGGGCAGAGGGAACCTGGCCACAAGGACGTGGGGGTCTTTTTTGTCTGGTTCTGCTGCCCCTGAGATTCACTAGTTTTATGCCCGAGTTATTTGGTTAGTAAGGTTTTTAAAATTATAAGCCTTCTCCAGTCTTTTACTTTCATATGTTGACCTAAATCCCAAGTATTTTACATCATGGAAAGGAATTGGAACTTTTTTTTGCGACAGAGTCTCGCTTTGTTGCCCAGGCTAGAGTGAGTGCCCTGGTGTCAGCCTAGCTCACAGCAACCTCAAACTCCTGGGCTCAAGCCATCCTGCTGCCTCAGCCTCCTGAGTAGCTGGGACTACAGGCATGCACCACCATGCCCGGCTAATTTTTTCTATATATATTAGTTGGCCAATTAATTTCTTTCTATTTATAGTAGAGAAGGGGTCTGCTCTTGCTCAGGCGAGTTTCGAATTCCTGACCTCCAGCAATCCTCCCACCTCAGCCTCCCAGAGTGCTAGGATTACAGGCGTGACCCACCATGCCTGGCCGGAAATTGGAACTTTTATTGATTTCATTGGGGGCAGGGGACGCCACTGCGGGAGAATGAACCTATATTTGGTTGAAGGAAAGCCTCAGGGACATTATTGGCAGTACCAGCACTAAGGTTAATCTGGACCCACTTTGCTCTAACTTTTTCCTTTAATTTCTCTGAGTTGGACAGTTGGATCCATAGACTATGGCTGTGAATTCCCCAAGTTACTCAGGTGGTGTTGCTTTGCAGACAGCTGGCAAAGAGAGAAGTTGGCTACCATGGAATCACCCGAGGAGCCTGGAGCATCCATGGATGAGAACTACTTTGTGAACTATACTTTCAAAGATCGGTCCCACTCAGGCCGCGTGGCTCAAGGCATCATGAAACTGTGTCTGGAGGAGGAGCTCTTTGCTGATGTCACCATTTCAGTGGAAGGTCGGGAGTTTCAGCTCCATCGGCTGGTTCTCTCAGCTCAGAGCTGCTTCTTCCGGTCCATGTTCACTTCCAACCTGAAGGAAGCCCACAACAGGGTGATTGTGCTGCAGGATGTCAGTGAGTCTGTTTTCCAGCTCTTGGTTGATTATATCTACCATGGGACTGTGAAACTTCGAGCTGATGAGTTGCAGGAAATTTATGAGGTGTCAGACATGTACCAGCTGACATCTCTCTTTGAGGAGTGTTCTCGGTTTTTGGCCCGCACAGTGCAAGTGGGAAATTGTCTTCAGGTGATGTGGCTGGCAGATCGGCACAGTGATCCTGAGCTCTACACTGCTGCCAAGCACTGTGCCAAGACCCACCTGGCCCAGCTGCAGAGCACAGAGGAATTTCTCCACTTGCCCCACCATCTACTCACTGATATCATCTCAGGTAAGTTTCAGAAGAGGGCATATCATATCCAGCTTCTTATTCAGTGTATGTTCTAGTTCAGGAGAAAGTAACCTTCAAGCTTCCTGGTGTTAGTTTACATTATTCCTACGTTACTACTGAGACACCTAAGAGAGACTGAGTTGAGATTCAGTGTAATTGTTGTGGGAGACAGTCCCTTACAGAGGAAGAAGCCAGTACTCACCCACAAAAGGTAGTGAGGAGCTATTTGAATTATACTCTAATCTGTGTGCCTAAGTGTTCTCATCTCTCCTATACTTTTAGGAATTTAATTACCTATTAAAATTGAAGATGAGTCAAGGTAGCTAACAAACCTGACCCTGTAAGTTAGGTATAACCATACTTTAGGATTGAGCTCTACAGCCTAGTAGGTTGTTTACTTGGCAGATGGGAACATATCAAGCCAACCATTTTGATTTTAAAAAGCAAGACAATTTTAGGCTAATTTCATGTATGTATGTATACACACATAGTGGTAGTCTAATAAAATGGTTCACATCTTTAAAGCCCCTTACTCTAAATTTCCCTTTTGGATTATCAGATTGTCATTGACCATACCTTTCCTTTGGCTCTCACAGATGGAGTTCCATGTTCCCAGAACCCAACAGAGGCAATAGAAGCCTGGATCAATTTCAACAAAGAGGAAAGAGAGGCTTTTGCAGAGTCACTCAGGACTAGCTTGAAGGTAAGGCCAATTTATTAAGAGATGGGACATCATATTCTCCATACATTGCAAGCCATCAGTTGGCCTGGCCTCTTTTTGATGGCTGTTGAGTAATTCGTCTCCAACTTGAAGTTGATATGAGCGAAGGAGAAGAATGTGTTTGTGACCCCCCCCCCAACCACCAATCTGTGAGCTTCAAACTTCATTGAGAGAACTACTTTCATCATGGAGGTAACAGTCCTAAGCACTTTGTCTGAAGCACCAGCTTAGAATAGTTTTAAAAAAGCTGTAAGGATGAGTGTAACATACTGACTCAACATAAAATGTCTCAAAGAAAGTGATTACAGGAGACTCAGGATGACATACGGTAACTAGAGGGGATTGTATTAGAGCAAGATAAAAGTGTGAGGGTCTGAACTTTAAGAATATGTGTCTTAGGCCGGGTGCGGTGGCTCACGACTGTAATCCTAGCACTCTGGGAGGCCGAGGCGGGCTGATCGCTCAAGGTCAGGAGTTTGAAACCACCCTGAGCAAGAGCGAAACCCTGTCTCTCCTATAAATAGAAAGAAATTAACTGGCCATCTGATATATATAGAAAAAATTAGCCGGGCATGGTGGCACATGCCTGTAGTCCCAGCTACTGGCGAGGCTGAGGCAGGAGGATTGCTTGAGCCCAGGAGTTTGAGGTTGTTGTGAGCGAGGCTGACGCCATGGCACTCACTCTAGCCTGGGCAACAAAGCAAGACTCTGTCACAAAAAAAAAAAAAAAAACAATATGTGTCTTAGCTGATCCTGACCCTAGAACTGATAGCTGTAATTTATCATTTTAATTTTGCCAATAGGAAATTGGGGAGAATGTGCACATTTACCTGATTGGGAAAGAGTCATCTCGTACCCATTCATTGGCTGTGTCCTTGCACTGTGCAGAAGATGACTCCATCAGTGTAAGTGGCCAAAACAGCTTGTGCCACCAGATCACTGCAGCCTGCAAGCATGGTGGAGACTTGTATGTGGTGGGAGGCTCCATACCACGACGCATGTGGAAGTGCAACAATGCCACCGTTGACTGGGAGTGGTGTGCACCTTTGCCTCGGGACCGGCTGCAGCACACCCTGGTGTCTGTGCCCGGGAAAGATGCCATATATTCATTGGGTGGCAAGACACTGCAGGATACCCTCTCCAATGCAGTCATATATTACCGGGTAGGTGATAATGTGTGGACAGAGACAACCCAGCTAGAGGTGGCTGTGTCAGGGGCTGCTGGTGCCAACCTCAATGGGATCATCTACTTACTAGGGGGGGAGGAGAATGATCTGGACTTCTTTACCAAACCTTCCCGACTCATCCAGTGCTTTGACACAGAGACAGACAAATGCCATGTGAAGCCCTACGTGCTGCCCTTTGCAGGTCGCATGCATGCAGCTGTGCATAAGGATTTGGTGTTCATCGTGGCTGAAGGGGACTCCCTGGTGTGCTACAATCCCCTGCTAGACAGTTTTACCCGGCTTTGCCTTCCTGAGGCCTGGAGCTCTGCCCCATCCCTCTGGAAGATTGCCAGCTGTAATGGAAGCATCTATGTCTTCCGGGACCGATATAAAAAGGGGGATGCCAACACCTACAAGCTTGACCCTGCCACTTCAGCTGTAACTGTCACGAGAGGCATTAAGGTGTTGCTTACCAATTTGCAGTTTGTGTTGGCCTAAGGCTGTGGGGGGAATGCAGCTGACTCTTTTGCCCTTTCCCTTTCTAGCATCTCCCTACCCAAACTCAAAGTTCCTTGGGCCCCAATTCAGAGTAATGTATTATTTTGGGGCACAGATTAGAAAGACAGCGACTGTCCTTCCCCAAATCCATAGAAGTATTCTGTTTGGGGCTCTTTAGACTGCCGCTGCTCAGCTGGCCACTTGAACTGAAAGTAGGCCAGCCTGTTCCCTGCCACTCTGTGGTAATCCTGTGCCACACTACAGATTGCTTAGAATAAGCCTCTTCTCAGACCTTAGGCACAGCCTCCCCTCTTTACCTGATCAATGTTGAATATAAGCACCCCTGATCCCAGGGCAGAAGGAAAGATGCCCAGTCATACTTTTTTTCTATAGCCTGCAAATTGGCTCGCTGATAACTTTTCCACAAAGAATTAATTACGTGTTAGAGTTTTCCTTCAGGTTTTGGTTGTGACAGTGGACTAAGATGAAGGTGTGCTTCACCAGCAAGAGTCAACTCTAGAATTCAGGACTTTGCTTCTATTGTTTTCTTGTCCGTCAGGAAATGTAATTTTGATTTTATTTTTGGCTTATTTCAAGAGGTAAGCCAGAAAGTAGAAAGGACTATTTCTGATTAATAGCAGAAACTATTCAATGCTAGGCTATAAATAAAAGGTAAAAAAAAAATAGCAGAAACTTTTTTCAAACTAAAAAATACAAGGTCTCTTCTCTTAAAGGCTCTAAGTTAAGTCAAGAGCTAGGAACTGTTCATACAAATAAAAGTTTTTGAAGGGATGTGTGTGTGTGTGTGTTGAATTCTGAAAGAGTGACTCCCTAAGGGGAATTGATTATGTGCCTACACATTTCTGAGTCAGCAGCAGTCCTAATTGCAACCCGTGCTTGCTTTTCTACGTATAGGATCACATTTTTAAAAGTGTGAAGGGAGGCCGGGCGCGGTGGCTCACGCCTGTAATCCTAGCACTCTGGGAGGCCGAGGCGGGTGGATTGCTCAAGGTCAGGAGTGCGAAACCAGCCTGAGCAAGAGCGAGACCCCGTGTCTACTATAAATAGAAAGAAATTAATTGGCCAACTGATACATACAGAAAAAATTAGCCAGGCATGGTGGCGCATGCCTGTAGTCCCTGAGGCAGCAGGATTGCTTGAGCCCAGGAGTTTGAGGTTGCTGTGAGCTAGGCTGACGCCATGGCACTCACTCTAGCCTGGGCAACAAAGCAAGACTCTGTCTCAAAAAAAAAAAAGTGTGAAGGGAGCCCCACAGGGCCAGTGAAATTGGGATTTTTTTTTTTTTAAGAGACAGGGTCTGTCACCCATACTGGAGTACAGTGGCATGATCATCACTGACTGCAGCTTTAAACTCCAGAGCTCAGGTGATCTTCCTGCATAGCTGGGACTATAGACACAGGCCACTACCTGCCTAAGTTTTTAAATTTTTAAAAATGGAAACAGGGCCAGGCGTGGTAGCTCACACCTGTAATCTTAGCACTCTGGGAAGCTCAGGCAAGAGGATCATTTGAGCTCAAGAGTTTGAGACCAGCAAGAGCAAGACTCCATCTCTAAAAAACATAGAAATTAGCTGGACAACTAAAAATATGTGTGTGGGGTGTGTATATATATATATATATATATATATAATTACCCGGGTGTGGTGGAGCATGCCTGTAGTCCCAGCTACTTGGGAGGCTGAGGCAGGAGGATCGCTTGAACTCAGGAGTTTGAGGTTGCTGTACGCTAGGCTGAGGCCACAGCACTCTAGCCTGGTCAACAGAGTGAGACCCTGTCTCTAAAAAAAATGGAGATAAGGTCTCACTTTGTTGCCCAGGCTGGCCTTAAGGAATCCTCTCGCCTTGGCCTCCCAAAGTGCTGGGATTATAGGTGTGAGCCATCACACCCAGCTGAAATTGGGAATTTTTTCTTTTTTTTTGAGACAGAGTCTCACTCTGTTGCCTGGGCTAGAGTGCAGTGGCATCAGCCTAGCTCACAGCAACCTCAAACTCCTGGGTTCATGCAATCCTCCTGCCTCAGCCTCCCAAGTAGCTGGGACTACAGGAATCTGCCACCACGCCTGGGTAATTTTTTCTATTTTTGGTAGAGATAGGGTCTTGGTCTTGCTCTTGCTTAGGCTGGTCTGGAACTCCTGAGCTCAAAGGATCCTCCCGCCTCAGCCTCCCAGAGTGCTAGGATTACAGGCATGAGCCACCGTGCCCAGCTAGAAACTGGGATTTCTGACAGTGGCAAAGAGCCAGACCTGAATATTTCTTCTCTCTTTTTTCTAGTGTTTCATGTCTTTGAGTTATGGTGCTATATAACATCAGGTACAATATTAGGTACACAATAATTTTTGTTAAAATTAATAATTCCTTGGCCCTATCGGAGAAAATAAGATATCCCATGTCTATTCTCTACCCTGTAAATACAAGTTATGCTAAATCTCTTCCTCTCTGGCTATACAATGGTGTTAATTCAGAAAAATGAAACAAGGCAGAGGAAGCAAAATTACCTATTACTTAGAACATTTCTGATATGTCAAGTTTGGACCTAAGGCCCTTAGGTCCCATTAAACTTTTTTATTTTGTATCAAGCAGGGATGTCTTCCTTCTTCTTTTTCCTGACCAAGGGATTCACGTCACTTTGAGTTCTTTCTAATCCACTTAATTCATGTCTTTGATGTGTCACGTGAGTCATCCTTGGCTGCCCCTACAGTAATCTTGTGGAATTCTTTTAAAACATCCAACTGACCAGGTCTGATGTGGATGTGTGACCGGATCTCGGTGATGGCTCTTACAGCCTCTTCTGGACTCCAGTTGTGCACCTGAAGTACAGGGTTGGAAAATCAGCACACAAAGAAAGGAGCAGGTGTTAAGGTGTCCTAGACCTCTGGGCAGGTGCTAAAGGACTCTGAGAATTTCATTTCTTTCAAAACTCTATTTTGGGAGGCATTAAAAAACTGTTATAAATGGGAGAGCACTTTAACCACAGTTAAAGTGGGACTCCATAATACTATGCACCAGGCCAGGAGGACAAGTCAGTCTTTCTGCACAATTTTTGCTCTACCAAACCCTGGAGAAAAAAGGTTGCACATATGCCGCTGACATCCTGAGTTCCAGACTGCTTAAGGCCCTAGGCCTCAGTGTGCTGAGGTGGGCTTTTGGTTAGAAGTATTTCTAGGAAAGAGTATATGGTAGATATTTTTATGTAACTCATCACCATGCTGGAAAAACAAGAGTACTTTTTAATTTAACTAGGAGGGTTATCTGTGTCTTAAGGCTACTCATTGGTTTAGAACTCAACAGAATTGGCTGGGTGGGGGTGGCTCAGACCTGTAATCCTACCGCTCTGGAAGGCCAAGGTGGGAGGATTGAAGTCAGGAGTTCAAGACCAGCCTGAGCAAAAACAAGACCCTGAAGACCCTCTCTCTGCAAAAAATAGAAAAATTAGCTGGGTGTGATGGCACGTGCTTGTAGTCCCAACTACTTTCAAGGCTAAGGCAGGAAGATCACTTGTGCCCAGGAGTTGGAGGTTGCGCTCTACCCAAGGAAACAGACCAAAGCTTGCTTGCTCCATCTCAAAAAAAAAAAAACAAAAACAAAACCTCAACAGAACCAAGAAAACAGGTTTCTAGTTGGCTGGTCCAACTCTTGGCACAAAAATGCTCTTCTGAGACTTGGCTTCCAGCAAAGAGTCCTTATGACCAAAGCTTTAGTATTGTTCAGTGAGAGGCTTACCAGTGTCCACAGTAACACAATCAAGTCGAGGCTTAACTATTCACATGACTTAGAAAATTCAGGGGTCAGGCAGGTTACTAAAATGAGTCAAGCTAGGAGGGTAGAAGACAACAGGGAATGATGAAGGACTACAGGATATTTGCTTCGATTTTTTTTTTTTTTGAGACAGAGTCTAGCTTTGTTGCCCAGGCTAGAGTGAGTGCCATGGCGTCAGCCTAGCTCACAGCAACCTCAGACTCCTGGGCTCAAGCAATCCTGCTGCCTCAGCCTCCTGAGTAGCTGGGACTACAGGCATGCGCCACCATGCCTGGCTAATTTTTTCTATATATATTAGTTAGCCAATTAGTTTCTTTCTATTTATAGTAGAGATGGGGTCTCGCTCTTGCTCAGGCTGGTTTCGAACTCCTGACCTCAAGCAATCTGCCCGCCTGGGCCTCCCAGAGTGCTAGGATTACAGGCATGAGCCACCGCTCCTGGCCAGCTTCGAAATATTTTTTAAAGCATCCTACCTGCCAATCAAAACAAATTGATGGGCAAAATTCAGTTTACTTATTTTATTTATATTTATTTTTTTTAGACAGAGTCTCACTTTTTTGCCCGGGCTAGAGTGCTGTGGCATCAGCCTAGCTCACAGCAACCTCAAATTCAGGGGCTCGAGCGATCCTCCTGCCTCAACCTCCTGGGTAGCTGGGACTACAGGCATGCACCACCATGCCCAGCTAATTTTTTCTATATATTTTTAGTTAGCCAATTAATTTCTTTCTATTTATAGTAGAGACAGGGTCTCACTCAGGCTGGTTTCAAACTCCTGACCTTGAGTGATCCACCCACCTCGGCTTCCCAGACAAAATTCAGTTTAGATCTTCTGTTTCTAGAAACTAATTTCCAGAACTTATACTCTAAAATACTTGAAGAAACCTGAGTACTATAGAGCTGAAAGTGATCAGCACTATTATCTCTAGTACTAGATTTCCTGACATGCTATTTATAACAGGTGTTTTTAGCCTTTTGCTGGAGTCGGACATCCTTTGCAAGTCCATTTTTTTTGAGTGCCTGCTGTAGCCCAGTGCTTGATGTACTTTCTCAATTAAGCTTCCTAATTCATTTGAGGAAACAGCATCAGAGAGGAGAAGCCACTTTTATCTATCCCAGCTGCAAGGTGGCAGAGCCAGAGATGAACCTATCCACAAAGTTCACGTGCTTTCCACAATACCACACCACCTACCAGCAGCCTGAAATTGAGTCTATTGTTCCTTCCAATAAGGAAGGCCAATAATAGGCCATGCTATTGAAATTTTGGAAATATGCTATAAATAGGGCCAGTCCAGAAAGACCTTTCCTACCTGAATCAGATATGCTGCCACCATAGTGGCACTCCTGGAGCGCCCAGCCTTACAATGCACGTAGACACACTGGCCCAGCGACTGGTAGTGGAGAGCAAACTGGACTCCTTTCTGGAGGTTGGCCAAGGTGGGGATCCCAATCATGTCTAATGTGCTGAGCCGCAGCTGCTCAACTCCTACTTTCTTCCAATCCTGGAACCAGGTCCACCAGCATAAAAAAGAGAATGGAAAAAACCTGATGGGGGTGGGATGACAAGAGGCTCCCAAGAGGGAGCAAAATAACAAGTTTCACAGTTTACTACAATGGGAATATATTGTTTTCTGTTTTCTAAAAAAGAACCTTCTTACAGAAATGCCTTTAAAATGGCTGGTCAACATGGTTGGTCTTTGAAACAACAGCTATGCTACTGCTGATTTAGAATTATGTCTAAGATTTAAAGTGTTTTTAAGGTATAGTTTGGGTACTAGAACCTTTAGCTGCAAAATATTAGCTGTATAATTTTCAGCTGCAAAAAATTCAGCTGCAAAAGTTGCATAACTATTTTTTTTTTTTTTTTTTTGAGACAGAGTCTCGCTTTGTTGCCCAGGCTAGAGTGAGTGCTCTGGCATCAGCCTAGCTCACAGCAACCTCAAACTCCTGGGCTCAAGCAATCCTGCTGCTTCAGCCTCCCAAGTAGCTGGGACTACAGCATGCACCATCATGCCTGGCTAATTTTTTCTATATATATTAATTGGCCAATTAATTTCTTTCTATTTATAGTAGAGACGGGTCTCATTCTTGCTCAGGCTGGTATTGAACTCCTGACCTCGAGCAATCCGCCCGCCTCGACCTCCCAGAGTGCTAGGATTACAGGCGTGAGCCACCAAGCCTGGCCTCATAACTATGTTTTTATATAACCGTGGCACCTGTGCAGTGATCCATCTGGAGGGTTGGGGGTATTATATTTTGCCAGGGCTTTCTATTTCCCTGTCCAGAAGTCTCTCTCAGGTTTTGTTTGTTTGTTTCTTTGAGACAGGATCACTGTAACCCAGGCTAGAGTACAGTGGCATCATAGCTCACTGCAACCTCCAATTCCTGGGCTTAAGGGATCCTTCTGCTTCAGCCTCCCAAGTAGCTGGGACTATAGGTGTGTGCCACCACACCTGGCTAATTTTTCTATATATATATATTTTTAGAGACAGGGGTCTTGCCCTTGCTCAGGCTGGTCTTGAACTCGAGCGATCCTCCTGCCTCAGCCTCCCAAAGTGCTAGAATTACAGACTGTGAGCCATGGAGCCCAGCTGAGAAGTCTCCACTTTTTTTTTAAGGGAGTGCATGGTAGAAAATAGGGTTATCCTATAATCCCAGCATTATGGGAGGCTGACATGGGAGGATCCATTAAGGCCAGGAGTTTTACACCAGCTTGGGTAACATAGTGAGACCCTGTCTACAAAAATAATATTTTTTAAATTTGAAAAGAAAATAGGGTTATTTTTAATGCATCTACCTTTATTAGTGCAATATTATCTCTTAAAAAGGTGAAGTCTGGGGGGAGGGGGGGAAATGGGCATTTATTGAAACCTTAAAATCTGTACCCCCATAATATGCCAAAATAAAATATAATTAAAAAAAAAAAATCAAAATAAAAAAAAAAAAAAAGGTGAAGTCATAGGAGAAATAAGGCCTTTGGCAAACTGGAAAATGATATTTTTGCTTTAAGACTTCAGATACACTCTAGCTACTCTTGTTATTGATCTCTTAATAAGTACCAGAGATTTTATGACTCTGAATGAAGGTCAATATTTAATACTGCTCATGAAATTAACAAAAAGGAAAGAATTTTACAGCATGTAGTTTATGCTTAAACTGCACCAGAAAAACCTAAATACTCATATTCCTGGGCTGCACCCTTAAGTTCCTGAATCAGAATCTCTGGGGATTGTGCGTAGGAATCTGCTATTTTAGCAAGATTGCCAGATACTTCTTAGGCATATTAAAATGTGAGAACCACTGCCTTGAGATTTCTTTAGACTAATAGGATGATATGGCTGCATCTTACAAATGTCAGTGCCTCACTCCTACAGACCAAGCATTTTCTATAGTTGCCCAGTAGTTTTGGACTCCCCTTGCTCTACAAGACTGACCACCCTAGTGAACATTTCCTATTTTAGGTAATAACATTTTTGCCTTGTGGCAAAGTATTTTGGGAAATCCAAGCAACTGTTAACTATTCTTTAAAAATGTATGCCATGGTTAATTAATACAGTTTAAATGTGAATCACAAATATATATTTTTTTTTTGATATACACATACAATGGAAACAAATATTTTTAAGATTTAAAAAAATCTTAAGGTTAAAGTGGGGCAGGGCATGGTGGTACACGGTTGTAGTGTCAGCTATTGGGGGCAGGGGCTGAGGTGGGAGGATCCTTTGAGCCCAGGAGTGTGAGTGCAGCCTGGGCAACATAGTGAGATCCCCATCTCTTGTCAAAAATCTATGGGTTAAAATACCAGCTTACTCATCAGGCTATATCAGTACCATAAATGAGAAAGATAATTGCTTAGTACTAATACATGTCAAACACTATAAAGATAGGGCAACATCTTCCATTAATAATAACCATTGTGAAAGGTTCCACAAACATTCACGTTCAATGAAAATTGTTTTAAGCCTGAACTTTGTTATGCAAGTCCTTTGGATTTCTACCATGATCTCTAACATATGAATAAAAATCCTCCCAAATCATAGTCAAATGAACCCTTTACAATTTTTCAGTGGATAGTTTTATGATCCCGTTAGGGGGCTGGGTAGAGAGGGAGAGGGGATGCCTATTATAATTGGCAGGGCCTTCATCTTGAATGCATAACTGCCTTACTCATACTTAGTGTTCAGTAAGTGTTGAATGAATGAATAAATAAAATCAGCAAGATCCAGCAAAGTTGCCTTTTTATTTTAGTTACTGAATTTAAGAATACATTTGTGCACAAAATCCTTTGTGCACAAAGGATTTAATCAGATTTTGTCAACTTTGTACTTTTAAATGTCCTGCATAGTTTCTGCTCTACCTCCAGCTGCAGCCATTTAAGCTTAGAGGCCCAGGCCCTCCTCCTGAGGAGGCAAAAAAGCCTAGGACACCTGTCTCAGGGAATGGTCCCCTCCTCCCCCGACTTCCCTAGCTGTCCCAGGCCCAGGGTGAGGCCGAGGCTGGAGGGCGCCCCTGCCCCAGCTCCTGCCTGCAGGTCCCGCCCTTCCACCGCGGCCCGGGCACCTCACCTCTGAGGAGTTGCACAGGAACCTCGTCTCATACTCCTCGTTCATGGTGATCACCCCGTGCACGTTCTCGTCCTGTACCAGCTGCCGAGGCAAAGAGGGGACTCAGCAAGGACGGCGGAGACCCCAGCAGCCCGGCGGGGCGGGCGTGGAGGCCCCGGCCTGGCTCCCCGGCTGCGGCGCTGGGCCCGGCCTCCCGGCCCGGCTCACCTGGCGCGTCATGTTCCGCAACGGCAGCGCGCCCAGCAGCACTGTGGAGTCGATGCGGTGGTACCAGGCGCGGTGCGCCCGGCCGGGCATCTTCCCGCGGAGCAACGTGTAGAGCAGCGTCGGGTAGAAGAGCACCCGGACCAGGCCGGCCTGCAGCCACGCGGCGGCCGCCATGCCGTCCCCCCCACCCACGGCCTGGCACAGCGCCGACGCGTCCGCCCCCGGGCTCGCGGTCTGCGGCCGCGAGCAGAGCTGGCAGGGCAACGAGGACGAGGACCAGGGCTGCGAGCTGCCCGAGGCCTCCCGCGAAGGCGCCGCGGTCTGCGCGGGCGCAGAGCCTCCTGGCCTGGACACCATGGCTCCGGAGGAGGGGCCGCCGACCTCAGGGGAGGTCCCTGGGACTCCTGGGCGGGAAACTGGGAACAGGCCCAGGGAGAGCACGTCCTGGGCTGGAGGCCTGTGAACCCGCCGCGTGTGAAACTGGGACCCCAGCCTGTGGCTACTGACGCCCCTCCCCTGAGGGAAGGGGCTGTGATCCCAGGTTCCTAGGTGAAGGGGGGCATGACACCCGCATGTGGAACTATGACTCTGCCAAGGCAGGAGGGGACAGTCTCCCCAACTCCCGGCCAGAAGGACGGGCAGTGACCCTAGATGAGGATGTGACACCACCACCACCCTGCCCCTCCGCCTCCCACCCCTCCATCCCCCGACAAAGGGGGACAAGACTAGGATGAGACTCTGTGGCAGTGAAGGGGAGAGTGAAGTGGCTTTGAGCTTTCCAGTAGAAGAGCTGCCTGGTGTCAGAGGGCGTATCTAGGCGAACAGGGCACCTGGGCTGATGTCTCCTTCCCACTCCCCTCCCCAGTCTCAATATATAATAGCTCAGTCCTCCTTACCAAACAGCAGTATATACATAATATGAAAAAACGGGAATATATATATTAATATACATTAATAAAATGTTATCAAAAGCTCAAATATAAAACCCACAAAGAGGTAAGGAATGGTTGTAATGCTGATTATTTACATTTCACTAGTTGTCTGAAATGGGCATCCGGTGCTTTTTTTTTTTTTTTTTTTTTGAGACAGAGTCTCGCTTTCTTGCCTAGGCTAGAGTGAGTGCCGTGGCGTCAGCCTAGCTCACAGCAACCTCAAACTCCTGGGCTCAAGCGATCCTCCTGCCTCAGCCTCCTGAGTAGCTGGGACTATAGGCACGAGCCACCATGCCCGGCTGATTTTTATATTATATATATTAGTTGGCCAATTAATTTCTTTCTATTTTTATGGTAGAGAGGGGGGGGGTCTCACTCAGGCTGGTTTTGAACTCCTGACCTTGAGCAATCCGCCCGCCTCGGCCTCCCAGAGTGCTAGGATTACAGGCGTGAGCCACCACGCCCGGCCCGGTGCTTTTTGAGAAGGTTTATTTTCTCCTTTTAAAAGTAATACGGGCGGGCGCGGTGGCTCACGCCGGTAATCCTAGCACTCTGGGAGGCCGAGGCAGGCGGATTGCTCGAGGTCAGGAGTTCAAAACCAGACTGAGCAAGAATGAGACCCTGTCTCTAATAAAAACAGAAAGAAATTAACTGGACAACTAATATATATATATATATATATATGTAGAAAAAATTAGCCAGGCATGGTGGCACATGCCTGTAATCCTAGCACTCTGGAAGGCCGAGGCAGGCGGATTGCTCGAGGTCAGGAGTTCAAAACCAGACTGAGCAAGAATGAGACCCTGTTTCTAATAAAAACAGAAAGAGGCCGGGCGCTGTGGCTCACGCCTGTAATCCTAGCTCTTGGGAGGCCGAGGCGGGCGGATTGCTCAAGGTCAGGAGTTCAAAACCAGCCTGAGCAAGAGCGAGACCCCGTGTCTACTATAAATAGAAAGAAATTAATTGGCCAACTGATACATACAAAAAATTAGCCGGGCATGGTGGCGCATGCCTGTAGTCCCAGCTACTTGGGAGGCTGAGGCAGGAGGATCACTCGAGCCCAGGAGTTTGAGGTTGCTGTGAGCTAGGCTGACACCATGGCACCTACTCTAGCCTGGGCAACAAAGCGAGACTCTGTCTCAAAAAAAAAAAAAAAAAAAAAAAAAAAAAAAAAAAAAAAAGTAATACGAACTCATAACAACTGGAAAATACAGAAAAGTAGGACTTATTTTTCTTATTCCTTTAAAACAAATTTTAAAGCATGCTTCCCAGAAAAGTTAAAATTTACTTATCACTCATAATACCTCCTCAAATACATTTATTTTTTCCTCCATTTTCATTCCCATGTATACCCTTAAAAACAATTTATAAGCCAGGGAGTGGCAGGGCACACCTGTAGTCCCAGCTACTTGAGAGGCAGGGGTGGGAGGATTCCTGAGCCCAGGAGTTCCACGCTGGGTGAGCTATGATTGTGCGGCACTCCAGTCTGGGCCAGAGGGAGACCCCTGTGGGGTACAATGTATGTACTACAAATTCTAAATGATTTTTAGTACATACATTGAGTTGTGCAACCATCACCACAGTTAATTTAATTCAATTTAATTAAATTAATTTTTTTTTGAGACAGAGTCTCGCTTTGTTGCCCAGGCTAGAGTGAGTGCCGTGGTGTCAGCCTAGCTCACAGCAACCTCAAACTCCTAGGCTCAAGCAATCCTCCTGCCTCAGACTCCCAAGTAGCTGGGACTACAGGCATGTGCCACCATGCTTGGCTAATTTTTTCTATGTATATATTAGTTGGCCAATTAATTTCTATTTATAGTAGAGACGGGGGGTCTCGCTCTTGCTCAGGCTGGTTTCGAACTCCTGACCTTGAGGAATCTGCCCTCCTCAGCCTCCCAGAGTGCTAGGATTACAGGTGTGAGCCATCGCCCCAGCCCACAGTTAATTTTAGAACATTTTCATTGCCCTAAAAAGAAACCCTATACCCATTAGCAGTCACTCAACATTTCTTCCCACGCCCCCAGCCCTAATCTACTTTCTGTCTATATAGAATTGCATTTTGGGGACAGTTTAAATATTAATAAATGGAATTATACAATATATGACCTTTGTATCCAGCTTAAACTATTTTCAAGTTTCATTCATGTTGTAGCGTTTATGAGGACTAAAAAATATAGTATTTATTTTTATAAATATTAAATATTTATTTTTATTGCCAAATAATATTCCATTGTATGGATATAGCACATTTTGTTTCTCCATTTATCAGTTGATGGACATTTGAATTATTATTTTCTTTTTGAGACAAGTCTAACTCTGTTGCACCACCATGCCTGGCTAATTTTTTCTATATATTTTTTTAGTTGTCCAGCTAATTTCTTTCTACCTTTTTTTTTTTTTTTTTTTAGTAGAGACAGGGTCTTGCTCTTGCTCAGGCTGAGCTCAAACAATCTTCCCGCCTCAGCCTCCCAGCGTGCTAGGATTACAGGTGTGAGCCACTGTGCCTGGCCACCATCATTTCTTTAACCAGTTCCCTATTGATAGATAGCTGGGTAACTTCTACTTTTTTTTACCAATAATAAATACAGTCGAATGAGTGCAGAGGCCCTGCCCGACTTATTCATGCCTGTAATTGTCTATTCCAGTGTCTGATACAGCTAGCTAAACACTAGTTGGTTGAATGAAAGAATGCTGTAGAAAATGCCCTTGTATACACTTCATCCACTTGTGTTTCTGAAGGAAACATTTCTAGAAATACAATTGCTGTTTCAAAGGATATGAGTATCTTTTGAAGGGGGTCACAGGGAATTTTTTTTTTTTTCTTGAGACAGAGTCTCGCTCTGTAACCCAGGCTAGAGTGCAGTGGCATCAGCCTAGTTCACAGCAACCTCAATCTCCTGGGCTTAAGCAATCTTCCTGCCTCAGCCTCCTGAGTAGCTGGGACTACATGTGTGTGCCACCACGGTGTGCCACCACACCCCCCGCTGATTTCTTCTATTTTTTTGCCTGGCTGATTTCTTTGTATTTTTTAGTAGAGACGGGGGTTTTGCTCTCCTGAAGGTTTGCTGGACTCGAACTCCTTAGCTCAAGGGATCCTCCTGCCTTGGCCTCCTGGAGTGCTAGGATTACAGGTATGAGCCACCACACCCAGCCACAGGGAATTTTTTCTAGCTTTGTTGAGTATAATTGATACTAACTAAACCACACATATTTAAGATATACACTTTAATACATTTTGACATATGTATATATTTGTGAAACCACCACCACAATGAAGATAATGGAACACAATGATCATCCCAAAAGTTTTCTCAGGCCCCTGGGTAATCCCATCTTCCCACACCTATTTACCCCCTTAGCCCATTCCCTGGCAACCACTAATCCACTATTGATTAATTAGCATCTTCCAGAATAATTTCATATAAACAGATGTGAATATTTTTAACTTTAATGATTATTTTTATTTATTTGTTTTTTAAATTTAGTTGCCCAGGTAACTTTTTTTTTTATTTTTAGTAGAGATGGGGTCTCACTCTTGCTCAGGCTAGTCTGGAACTCCTACCTTCAAGGGTAGGCCTGGGCCTACCACCTGGGCCTCTCAGAGTGCTAGGATTATAGGCATCATGCCTGGCTCAATTATTATTTTTAAATTTCCCTCCAATACGACCAAATCTTTTTTTTTTTTTTTTTGAGACAGAGTCTCGCTTTGTTGTCCAGGCTAGAGTGAGTGCCGTAGCGTCAGCCTAGCTCACAGCAACCTCAGACTCCTGGGCTCCAGCGATCCTTCTGCCTCAGCCTCCCGAGTAGCTGGGACTACAGGCATGTGCCACCATGCCCGGCTAATTTTTTATATATATATCAGTTGGCCAATTAATTTCTTTCTATTTATAGTAGAGACGGGGTCTCGCTCTTGCTCAGGCTGGTTTTGAACTCCTGGCCTTGAGCAATCCGCACGCCTCGGCCTCCCAAGAGCTAGGATTACAGGCGTGAGCCACCGCGCCCGGCCGACGACCAAATATTTATACACTCAGAATCCTGCTTCTCACAACTTTATCAGCCTTTTTTTTTTTTTGAGACAGAGTCTCACTTTGTTGCCCAGGCTAGAGTGAGTGCCGTGGCATCAGCCTAGCTCACAGCAACCTCAAACTCCTGGGCTCAAGCAATCCTTCTGCCTCAAGCCTCCCGAGTAGCTGGGACTACAGGCATGCGCCACCATGCCCGGCTAATTTTTTCTATATATATTAGTTGGCCAATTAATTTCTTTCTATTTATAGTAGAGACGCTGTTGTTCAGGCTGGTTTCGAACTCCTGAACTCAAATGATCCGCCCGCCTCGGCCTCCCAGAGAGCTAGGATTACAGGCGTGAGCCACCGCGACCGGCCTTTTATCAGCCTTTTAAATTTAGTTTTTTATTTCCCAATCTGTCAGTATTAAAAAATCACATTGGTTTAATTTGAATATCTTTAATTATTAGTGAGTTGAGATTGAGCATCTTAGGTTTAGTGGCCATTTGTATTCTTCCTATGAATTGCATGTTTATCTCCTTTGCCCATCTGTCTAATGGGTTGTTGTGCTATTCTTTCTAGTCATAGAAAGTGCACAAACTAAAAGTGTATGACTTGACACGAATTTTACTATTTATACAACCAATGTAACCACCCACGTAGATCAAAATATTAAAACATTCCTGTACTCCCAAAAGCTTCCTGTCTCTCCCAGTCAATCAATCATTTCTCCCCAGTAAAGTTAATTTTATTACTGTTTCACTTGTTTCTCCAAATTTTAATTTAATGGACTTATACATATATGCCTTTTCCTTCCCTTCCCTTTCCTTCCCTTCTTTCCCTTCCTTCCTTTCCTTCCTTCCCTTCCCCTTCCCTTCCCTTCCTTCTTTCTTCCTTTCCTTT